GTGATGTGCTCTGTGGCAGGTGAGGTCTTGGGAAAGGCAGCAGAATAGATATTAAAGAGAACAGTATCTGGTCATTTATTATATAAGGCTTTGTGTGTAAAAAGTGTCCCATCGTGACATCAGGACAGTGAGACATGATTGTTTTTGGTTCTGGTCCCACGCACGTGTACAGACAGCTCTGTTGTTGTTTTACAATGAGGTTTCCTTGGATTCTGGCACAACTGGTTTGAATGTCAATATCTCTGTGAAGGTGTGACCTGATGAAAGAAGCACAGCACGACAGAGATTTACAGTAGATTATCTTCACTCCATCTCCACTCCTTTTCTTTTTCTATCTAATAGTTCATCTGAAGTAATTTGGTTTGCCTTCATCTCTCATGCATTGGCACTCTAACTGCTGCGGCCTTACGTTTCCACTGTTCCAGAGGCATGTCGGCGTTGTCTAACGAGTGGTCGTATAACTGTGCTTCCGTCTCCTCATCCGGATCTCTGAAGTCGGTGAAGTACGGCAGACTGAGAGCCTCCGCGGCCGTCGCTCTGCTCTGTGGGTCGAGCAGCAGCATGCGCTCCAGCACAGACACAGCTGAGTGAGAAGAAGGCAAAAACAGAAGTGTTGAGAGGGACTGCAGGGGAGTGATCCAACTGAGAAACAGCTCAGAGTCCTCCTACCTTGAGGATTAGTTGTAGAAAACAGTTTCTGAAGTTCTTTCTTTTCCACCTTTGGAAGACCTTTTATGTAGCTTTTGGCCTTTCAACGCACAATTAATGAGACATAATTAATAGCAGACAAAATAAAAAACACAAATCAGATATTTAAACCTTCCAGTCCAGAACTCTTAGAACATCACTTATTCATATTCCACCACTTCACTGTGGCACCTGAAGTACACCCTGAATAGTTTACTACACAGCTCCACATACTGTATAGAGACTGTTATACTAATCCTCATTACTATTGTCATACACTACTGAGACACACTCTGCGAGAACATGTGAGAACACCAGAACTCCATACAAAAAGAGGTTTCCTAATCAGATAAGTTCAAATATTAATATGACTATGATGACGTAATATGACGGAATGTTCATGATTTCAAACTTGAATCAATAACAATCATATATAGAGACATTTATTTACTAATACATTATGGAGTAGTTATATTTACCCAGTGTGTTACAGCCATTATACAAGTGTGGCCTTCGGTGAAACTGAATTTAACAAACTTGTTCTTAGACAAGAACAACTGCAGGAGTTGTTGGTGAGCATGGCCCTTCACCTGGAGTCTATTAACCTGCCCAGCTTTATCATTTAACTCACAGTGTCCATCTCCTGTAATGCTAATATTATTTCAAAATGAGCATGATGGTCAATTTAGGAAACCTGAACCCAGATTTAGAACCATAACCATGTTTGTTGTCTACTCCCATAGTTAATGATGGTACAGATATGGATTGCATGTGGATTAAGCTACCTTATGTCAAGAACATTAACTGGAATACCCTTAAAGCAGTGTTTCACAAACTTTTTTATCTGGGGACCCTTAAGTCACAAACCTTCACGACCCAAGTCAATAGACATTATTCCTAAACTCCTGGGAAACATCATGCGAAAGGACCCAAAGAAAACCCTCTTGCGACCCACCTGAGGGTCACGACCCAGTCTTTGGGAAACAATGTCTTAAAGTATATGTATGTATGTGTGTGAAGTTGTGGCCTGGATGTACTTACATCTTCAGACTCCAGTTTTAAGATAAATTCCTGAGTAGGTGTTCCTGTGACCTTCATGATCTCAGTCAGCTGATCTAGGTCTTATTAACGGGGGGGGGAGGGGGGTCAAGGTTCACTAATACAGTACAATACACAGTAGAATGAACAGTCCTGCAAATAAATAAATACATAAGTAAATAATCCAAAAATGTACAAGAAACTCAAAAGGATACGGTCACTGCCTTTGAAAAGAGGTTTTCCTTGCAGCATTTCCGCCATGATGCAGCCCACAGACCAAATGTCAACTGAAGGACAGACAACACAGTTGGTCAATACCAGACGTGTCCAGTGTCAAGTATATATTTTTCAAAAAATCAGCAAAGTCATGCAGTAACAACAACAGTCAGGGACGGTCCCTCAGTGACTGTAATGTGTTAAGAGAGCACCTCCTAGTGGAGAAAACAAATCATTTCTCTAGACGCCGTCGCTGAGGTGCTTCAAATAATTTAACATCTAAAACATTAGAATACGGTATTAAAAAATACATACAGACATCATGTGACTTTATTTCTTATTTGGTTTTATTTTGTTTGTCTTTGTGTTTTTATATAAATGACGTAAATTAAACATTAAAGATAGATAAGATAAATAATATAATGGGAGTTGAATTAGATTACTACTCCTTTATCACTCTATATCTGGTATTTATGGTAATAACAGAAATGATTGTCTCTCCCTCATGACTGTCACTTCTGTACACAGTGTTTCCATCAGAGAATTCTAACTTCTTTATCAAAGTCCTTTTCACTAGGTCACAAGATTGTCCTTTGTTTTTTCTTTAATGGAGTTCTTTAAAAATGTTCTTTCAATTTTGAGAAAAGATAAACATCAAAGGGAGATTAAAACCTGTTCCAATAATTCAATCAGTTTAACAGGTTTTCATGTTTAGATTAGAATTTGATGTTTGCTCTGTTAAAGAAATAATCATTTCTAAGGTTGAAAAAACCTGATCAGATTAAAGACAACAAATAATAACACACATACACACAAAGAGAGAGAGAGAGAATGTGTGAAAGCTGTTTCATCTGAGGAATGTTTTACTTATTAAAATCAGACACCTTCTGAAATTATTACTGTCTAAAACCTTTGAGTTTTATTAGTGTATCCTGCACAAAGGGCCCAACAAGTGAAGGATTTCTGCGAGAGAGTTGAACCAAAGCAAAGAAGCAACATGTCACAGCCTGTTCTCTAGAGAATTCCAATGTTATTCTAGAAATGCGGAGACGTTCTGTGAAGACACAGACCATGAACTAAGACAAGTGAACTGATAAAGAATGCTGACTGTCAATCTCTCAACATTACCAGTCTGAGTGTAGTGCATCCAGCTGAGGATGACCTCTGGAGCCCTGTACCATCGGGTCACCACATACCCCGTCATCTCACTGTCTGCCTGCCGTGCCAGACCAAAGTCCAGAATCTGAAAGAGCACGATCATAAACCAGAAGTTACCTTGAGGGTACGGCGACAGAGTAAATGCACTTGAAACACTTTCAGAAACTAAAAAAAAAAGAAGTAGGAGAGGGATTGTGAGTCAGTTTCAGGTTGACTGTAGCATAAATAAAGTATTTCAAGGTTGTGCAGCACAGATTCAGGTTATCAGTGTGTGCAGGCGTACCTTGAGCTCGCAGTCTTGGTTGATAGCAAGATTTCCCGGTTTGAGGTCCTTTATATTTTCAAATGAAAAAAATAATTTAAAAAAACTATAAGAAACACAGTCTGAAGGAAGGTAATTCAATAACAGCCAATGAGAGCAGACGTCGCATAAGGACAACAGCATTCTTTTCACTCGTATAGCGATGTATCTGTGGATGTATACTTTAAAACCACTCACCCTGTGAATTATACCAGCTGAGTGAATATACTGCAGAATTAGAAGAAAAAATACAGCTGTTCAGTTAATTATCAAAAAGATAAATTCACACAAATGTCACAAGAGTAAAAATGAATTTTTACCTTCAGACCCCGAAGCATCTGATAAACCAAATACTGTATTTTTTCTTCCGACAGCCTCTGTACTTTCATCAGCTTCCCCAGATCTGTGCCCATAAATGGCATTACCAGATAACTGGGGAGAAGAACATAATTGGAGCCATGACCATCAATGACGATATTCAGGTCATTCTCCAGTCCATGGACCTGAGCACAAACATGAACTTACAAGTCCTGGAATCTGTCCAGAGAGAGGTCAGCTGTGAACACATCTACCAGACCGATCACCTGTGTTGAACCACAACAGAACATGTTACTGAGGTGAGCACAGGTGATTTCAAAACATGTAAACGTACTGATTTTTTACCCTGCATCAAGTCAGACTAAAATCTAAAGAAAACATGTTTTCCCTTGTACCTACATTCTCATGTTTCATGTGTTTGAGAAGCCTCAGCTCCCTGTAAGCACGCTTTGCAAAAAGGTCCGACTGGAAAGGTCGGTACAGCTTCTTGATGGCCACCTTGGCTCCGGTTCTGGAGTCCAGAGCTGAGCTGAGGAGAAGAACATATGAGAGGCTGTGAGACACAATAACGCACAATAATGCTCTACTACTACTACTTGTACTTTCAAAATTCATCTAGCGGACCGGTTTTGCCCCACGAGCCTTATGTTTGACACCTCTGCTGTAGCTAATTAAGTTACTGCCATAAAGCAGGACTCAGCTTGTATTCCCCAGTGATAAGATTTGCATGTCACAAACCTTTAACTTCCCCATGATCAACAACAGTAGTCAAGGATAAAAGAAAGTTGAAGAAGTCTGTTATCTAAGAAGTGGAGTTTATAAGTGGGTATGAAACAAAGGCATGTTCACACTGGACTGAATCTTTAATCCTCTTAATTTATATATCCCATTGACAAGAACATGTATGTAATAATCAATTAAGTAATCAATTACAAACTAGTACTGTTAACTAGGTGACAATGTCTTTGGGATTTGTTTTGTTTTTTGGGGTTGTTTTTTTTTTAGCAACAACTGAAACAAACATCAGCTGCTTAAGGCTTAATGAGACATGTATTTAATTAAATAAATAAATCATTAAAATTATTGGCTGACTTTCAAAAATATTTCATTCAGTGTAGTAGTTGATTTATCACATATTATCATATTTTACCTAGTAAAAAAACATATTTATGAATGCAATTCAAAGGTGGCCTCTTTGAAGATTATAATAAAGATCTATTCTCAAAGTGAATTATTTATAATTATTATATTTATTTATAGAGAAAAAATGCATGAAACCTGAGCACATAAATAGGTGATATTGATCAAAGTTAAATAACATATTTTCTAGAAAATTGAAAAAAATGAAAGATATGATATATATGATGTTCATGATATTCAAATCATGACATGTCTACTGATGTACACCGCAGTGTACCTTTGCTGGTACATGTGCCCCCATTTGAAAACACTGGCTTTGTAATGGTATTAATTTTGTACTTTATTAGAAAAAACATTTGACTTTTTAAGTCATTTTACCAAGAGTTTGGTTTTGCATATAAAGAGTGTTTATTTGGTGAGTCTTATCTGTCTACAGAGTTTGGTCCCAGGACTTTTTTAAACTGTACCTTCACACAGGCTGATTAAACGGACGTCGACTTTATTTGTTTTAGTGAACGGTTGTAAACCTGCCCTGTCTTTGTGTAATCTGCTGTCATGGGTGGGACTTTCCTGTAAAAACATCGGGATGAATCTGAATTTATAGCTATTTAGGACTGGTGAGTAACCTCTATCTGTGAAAGCTGTGTGGAGTATGTGTTATAAACGATAGCTCGTATGAGGAAATTACACCGCCCACCTCTGTGGTTAAAATGCTCTTCTCTGCCCTCCTCGGGGGGGGTGGGGGGGGGGTGATATTGTCTGTGTTATCTGTTGCTGGGGAATG